AAATTTCCGTTGTTTTATGAAAATTTCCGTTGAAAAATGTTTGTCATATTCACTAACTCATAAACGAATATTTACGTTTCAGTAGTAGTGAAACTTCGACCCTGCAGGTCCGTTGAATAACAAAAGAACTAGAATTATAACTGTATATTTTACCCAAGTACATGTACAGACCTTTGAAGTCATTGTTCTGACTTTCAGTGCAGTTTCGGGCTCGAATGCATTCGCCTATATTTGAGCCTATAATACTGTCCACCTGAAAAACATTTCATTTAGAAACTTTAAATGGAAAAAGGAAGGGTAGCACATAACTAAATAGTTGAGTTTAATATCCATTGATACTTTAAAAGAAGCCTTAGTCACCTTCTACAAGTGAGATAAATTATAACCTGGAAAAACTACAGCTTAAATATACTGAGAGCATATTGGGTCAAACTTCTAAAAACTATTTATTTTGAGAAGTAGAAATAGTATTTCACCTAAGTAATTTTCGATAGAAGCGGTTGGATTTGATCAATTTTTTAGAAGTATTTCTTTCTGTATCTAATAAACAAATTGTATTTGGTCAATTTTTCCAAAAAGTACTCTAGTGTAAAAAAATATTAGCATATAATGTAAATCCAAACTAGTTTAAATAACTTACCATATATTCTATTAAATTAGGTGGCCTATGAGTAATTCGAGAACAGCTTAATTCAAGATTAAACTTACACCTAGTATGTGCACATTTTCAAATCATTGCAGTGACCTTCAAACCAAACATGGTGGAGGAAAAAGTAACTACTAACTGGAAACAAATGCATGACTGTCTAACATATCTGATAACTATCAAATGCTGACATCACGGAAAAAAAAGGCGTCTTGATATCTTGTTGTATGTTTTCTGGGAAGAAACACTGCAGTGTATTGGTAATTTGTATAATTATTCCAAGGGCAAAAGAGGACGCAAAATAACAATTGAATCAAGCTAGGAAGCAAGACGTACCAATTCTGGTTTCATTTTTGAAGTGCATGATTTTGGTAACACTTTGATAGATCCCTGCAACTCAAGTAAATAGGTTTAAATATCAGATCTAACCTTAAATCAACAGATATGTATTGGTAAAAACAAAAATAAATAAGAAGAGATAGGATTAATATACATGTAAATTAACCACATCTCTAAAGAGTGACTCAAACACATTTGCTAGACATGGATTTTTCCTATTAAAAATAAGATGCTCAACGTTATATATATAGCATTTACGGTCATTTGCTATATGGGAAATTTAAAATCCTTATATATATATATAAAGTAACCGGCATCAACCAAACATTTCACTCTATGTGCTTTATGCAATAAATTGTGAAAGCGATGACAGTATAACACCGTTGGATATCCATTAGCAGAACCACCGGAAAGAATGACCTGTATTATTAATCTCTCTTAGTATGTGAGATGAATCGATTACTAAATAATATTGCATAATCTCAATATGAAACCTAATATACTGAAAATAAAATTTTAGTTATAATTTAGATTTACATACATTCTTTGCATCCTTTAATCCTCTTGCTAACAAATCCTCAATTACTGCATCAAATATCCTTGCACCTCTGAAATGAAGATTGGTAGCCTAAACAATAAAGGAAGTGAGTAGAGTTCCATGTTGTTTTCACCAATAAAGAAATGTCTCAAACTCAATATAAATATGTGTAAACTAGCTTCTTGACACGCGTGTTTCACGTATATCTCGAGTCATATAGTATACGACAAACAATCAATAGTCTATGTACTAACACTAAAAAAATTTGAATATTTTACCTATTTTGTAATTTCTTAATACATATTTTTATCTATTCAATTGTTATTTTGGCTTTATTTTGAACTTCACATATTCTAAGTTTTATTTTCCCATTAATGCGCTTTTCTTCACCAAAATGCGCATATCACTTTAATAAATTAGAAGTACTAAGCAACGTCACACCTTGAGAAAATATTTTACATATAAAAGTGACACAAATTCAAACTGTAGAAGTAGCAATACATTTCACACATTTATTTTGTCCTGACAGTTCTTCTACATGTTCCAAATACAAGCGCACTATTCAAAATCAATTTCATTTTCATTCTAGTCCGACATAAGATGATCGATTCATAAAGGTTATCAAACCACGTCAACAATTCAAGTCGAAATAAGCCAACACTATGGAGGAATAATTCATGGAAGAAGAGAAAGCGTAAACACATTCATTTAATATTTAAATTATCACTTTAGAGAATCCACTTATATAAATAGTATTAAAACAAAAGGAATGCCAAAATTTAACAAATAACATAACAACTGAATCATAAAAAGATACACATAAATTAAAATATTTAAAAACTATAGCCCAACAATATAAAATTGGATTAAAAGAATGAGAAAAGTGTATTTTTTCTTTAAGAAACTCGATGTCAAATTAAAGAAAATGTAAACACTTACCAAGAGTGCGTTTTGAAAATTTGGCTCTAATTACGAATTACCACAGATCAATTATATGAAATTTCTAATATCCAGATACCTTCATCTAAAAAAAACCACAAAAAGGAGAGAGAGAAAGCCAAACACAGATAAAATTGCTTTGCCTGTCCGATACTACCAAAAACTTACAAAGTGATTGTAGTGAATAATTACGTACAGCAAGGAACTTACGACTCGGAGAAAAGCCACAACTTTCAATCCACTTACTCAATAATAATTCTTAATTTTCTCTCCTATAGGTGCAAGTACATGCAACTTGCTAAAACCTAATACTATAACAAAGATGTCTGTATTCGTTGGGGCAGGCGTTAGATTTTTAATCGTCGTGTTTGAACCTAAAAATGTTTCTTTGTAACTAAAGTGTAAATACCTGAAGCATAGTGAAATGTGTTTTGACACCTTGAAACACAAGCTTAAGAACCATATCGTGCACAATGAAGATGTAACGATGCGACCGATCATTTTTTGTATTTGAACTCCGTTTCCCTATTTGATATTTCCGTATGGATATCTGTTGTTTTGTGAATTGCGGGGTAGATTGGTTTGACTTCGGAAAGATTCGGGAGTGATTTGGAGGAGACACCGCAAGAAGAGGACTGGCCTATTTTTCTCTTTTTAAAAATAATACTCTGTGTATTTCCATTTAGATGAGACAGCTTGACTCTACTAATAATATAGTATAATTAGTATAGTCATGTATTACTCCTACTGTTTCAAACTACATGTGCATATTATACTTGTCCATTTCTTCCCCTTTCTTAGTAATCCAAACCCTTGTCTTAGCCTTGTGATGAATTCGATGGCAAAAACAATTTATATGAAAGAACTTTTAAGCATGATAACTTCTTCCCATACAAATAGTGATTAGTGGCTGTATAGGTCCAAATTTGGTGACTCGACGGTAACAAATAAATATGACAAAGGACGAGGTTGACCATGGTATAACGACTGATGAAGGTTGTTCTCAAAAAGGCTGGTGCCACAAATGGGTAGCCGGGATGAAGAAATAATAGTAGCATAGGTTGAGAGGTAGACATAAAGAATATTTCTTTGGATATTCTTTATGTTGTACTTTTTAGGATTTTTGGGAAATATCCCTCATAAATAGGAAGAGATAGAGAACAAAAAGGGATCTTCACTTTTTGATAAGAGCACATTGTAAAGGTTGACAAAAGAGAATATACAAAAGTTGTCTTGTTCACTGATTAACTTATTCAAGCACTCGTTGTTCAATCTTTGTTCACAAGATCCAAGGATTCCATATTCATCTTCACTTCTCACATTTTCACGTCGTTGACAGAGGAAAGGAACGTTTCAATCATACAATAATTGGGTGGTGGATCCTTTCTTATTACACATATTGCCATTATCCACATTTATTACATATTCATGCTATTATATTCATTGTCAATCATTGAGTTAAATCCGTTATTTAATGCCCTTAAGCACTGTTCATCTCTCGAGTATCTTGTTATATTTGGCCTAGAATTTATTAAGCTCAACTAAGACTCGCCCTTTAATTCATCATTCACTAGTTTAACTAAAAAGTTTAACACTTTTTTGGTCAAACAATGACACCAAAAGGAAAATCTGTAATAAATTTCTCATTATAGTGTACTTCAACCATTAATGCTGATAATTCATTCCCGACTCGGAGAGAACACAACATACTCAGTAAAACAGGAATTTAGCATACTGTAAAATAGGAATTACACGTGAAAGTGCAAGAAAAAAAGCCACCATTTCAATCCGTCGTCAAGTCATTTACGTTGGGGGCTGTTGTAGCGTCTCAAGCGTTGTCTTCTCTTAGGAGTTGGGCGTTAATATTTTTAATATTAACTACTTCATCGATTTCAATTTAGATGATATAGTTTGATTGAGAAAAAAAAAGAGAAAACTTTTGAAATATGTGGTCTTAAAAACTTAAGGGGCAAAAGCTTTATGAGTTCATGATATTTTTGTGGCTATAAAAGATTCTTATTAAGGGTAAAGTAGATAAAATTAAAAATTTAAAGTTAAATTATTCCCAAATATACAAATGTATCAATTTTTTTAAACGGACTAATAAGGAAAGTGTGTCATTTAAATTAAACAAATGAAATAGGATATATGGGTGATAAGAAGGTTATTTAGATAATTTAAAATTTAACTTAATGGCTTTCCACTTTTAATATAGATGAACATAGATAGATTTTAAAACAGAAACTTAAAAGAGAATATAGGGGATCAATGCTTTCGATATCTCCAGT